AAAGAATACATGAAATCATCACCAAAATAGACTTTATATTTTAAAAGCAAGGTACATTTAGAATGGCCATACTTTATATTTTAAAAGAAAGGTACTTTTAATAGAAGAATTGGCAAAAGCCATCGAAACATTTATAATTGGCCAAATAACCATATTAATTGTCGATAAAAAAACAAACCATACTAATTGATGGTTAGAATATACAGTTACATACTAGCGGGGCATAAGATGGGTACCCTGAAAATTCGGATTATCCGTTACCCGATCTGATCCTATCGGGTATTTGACAAACAATACCCTTATCCGACCCGCAAAAAGCGAGTACCCTATACAACGGGTACCCAAAAATTCATTGATCCGTCGGGTACCCGACCCTTTATCCTTACCCGTCCAATTGTAATATAGTTTATGTATAATTAAAGTTAAGTAACTTATATACCAGAAAAATGAAAAAGTTATTACGAAAAAGGAAAAAAATCTCTTAATAGACAACATATATTTCATTAAATATAATATTACAAATTTCAAAATTTAAAACTTGTAATCCATCGTCTCCAAAATTATTGATGACAATTCAAAAACACAAAAGATTGACGTTGTATTTATTCTATACTATATATTATACAATTTATTTTATACCTAAGTTTATCAAATATTAATGATATAAAATGCGAGTATTTACGGGCCATGTAGCAAATCGAGTATGAAGACGGATAGTGAAAAAAAAATAATACCCTTACTCGCGAGTATCAAAATTATAGTACCCTTTACCCAACTCAAACGTTACGGATACTCTAATTTTCGAGACGAGTACGAACCGGATAACAGGTAAAGAATGGGTAACGGGTATCTATGCCCATAATGTAAAGTGTATTCTAGCCCAAAAACCTTTATCTCTCTTTTCTTTCTTTTTTTTCTCCTTCATTTTGATTTTGAACTTTGATCTTTGTATAATATTTATATTTATTATAAAATATAAAAGAATACATGAAATCATCACCAAAATAGACTTTATATTTTAAAAGCAAGGTACTTTTAGAATGATCATACTTAATAGAGGAATTGGCAAAAGCCATCAAAACATTTATAATTTGCTAAATAACAATATTAATTGATGGTTAGAATATACAGTTACATACTAGCTGGGCATAAGACGGATACCCTGAAAATTTAGACTATCCGTTACTCGATCCGACCCTATCGGGTATTTGACAAACAATACGCTTACCCGATCCGCAAAAAGCGAGTATCCTATACAATGGGTACCCGGCAAAAATTCGTTGACCCGCCGGGTACCCGGTCTTTTACCCTTACCCACCCAATTGTAATATAGTTTATGTATAATTAAAATTAACCAACTTATATACCAAATAAATGCAAAAATTATTAGGAAAAARAAAAAAAAAAATCTCTTAATAGACAACATAGAGTTCATTAAATATAATATTACAAATTTCAAAGCTTAAAATTTGTAATCCATCGTCTCCAAAATTATCGATGACAATTCAAAACACACAAAAGATTGACGTTGTGAGTATTTATACTATACTATATATTATACAATTTATTTTATAACTAAATTTATCAAATATTAGTGATATAAAATGCGAGTATTTACAGTCAGATAGCAAATCGAGTACGAAGACGGATAACGAGACGGATAGTGAAAAAAAAAATGATACCCTTTACCCGACCCTTACCCGCAGGTATCAAAATTATAGTACCATTTACTCGACTCAAAAGTTACGGGTACCCTAATTTTTGAGACGAGTACAAACCGGGTAACGGGTAAAGGACGAGTAACAGGTATCTGTGCCCAGCCTTATTGTAAAGTGTATTCTTGCCCAAAAACCCTTATCTCTTTTTTTTTCTCC